CACTGATACACAACAACGAGACAAAATCCGATTACAAATTTTACATTTACATTTAAGGCATATGCGATATATGAAAACTAAGGAAGACAAAATTCTGTAGCTTTCGTAAAACTGACTTAATTTATACATATAAGCAAAATTTTTGAAGTGCTGCTAAAACTCAGTACTTAATTCACCAGTTTCAGTTTATGACATTCATAATTAATAACTTCTAGCAGATAACTTATCGGTACATTCAATAAGCAACGTATCTATTCACAACGAGTGTGATTTATCAAACTAACAAATATTGCTCTTATCATTCAAGAATGCTCCAAATTTATTTGTTACATGCTAAAACATTGTATTGCACATTTACTCAAAATTTTAAAATAGTTTCAATGGTTTCAAAGATTATTCCAATATGAGAGTAGAATGACAAAGGCTGCTGACTTTAGAAATATCTGTCATTCATTGAATATCACAAAACCATTCTTGTAAGCGAAGTCAAACTATGCGAAGCGGCAATTACTTGCAATTATGCCTTGGAATATCTACAGTCCACATGTCACAATATTTCATAAATCACTAAATCGGTTAAATACATGTCTGCTACCAACTGTGTAGTAATGGAAACACTATTTTTTAAAAAGGATTTCAACAAAAAGCATAGCAAACACTTCAGGAGCTGAAAAACCAGTGATAAAAGTTATAATACGAAGAACGAATTCGCTGTTTACACGGAAATAATCCAGATTGCAAGATGGAAAAAGAAGGCATAAAGTTAGTCTTGAGAGAAACATATGTCACCTCCGTATTAATTTCCAACAGAAGGCGGAAAGATTCACACAGAGCAACAATTCATCTTAAAAGAGATTTTTATCTCCATCTTGAGTTTCAAAATTTCAGGAATTTCAGCAGTAAGGTACCATCTAAAAGATAATAAATGTGAACTAAGAAATAAAACAGCAGACTTCAGCACTGTGATCGAATATAATTCAATTTTAGTTGATTTATTAGATGTATCACACAGTCAAATAGTATTGTTTACAAGATCATGTTTCAGACATAATTTATTGTCCATAGTCATATCTAGATAACTACACAACTTTGAGACATCCTTTATATAGTCCTAATTTCCTTGCCCTCTTTGTGATATTGGTGATAGAATTTTCTACATACGTTGAACAGGTGCTGAATCATTCCTGTTGCATGTATTAGGTTTCGATTCGACAAACAATAATTCAATTGTCAATCCCTACCTCCACCCTGCTATATTAGTTGTAAGCATTTTGATCCTCTCCCATCCTATTATGTGGTTGTGTGCAACTGCATGCATAGCTATGACTGAGGATTTACCTAAATTCCTTATGGTACTGGGATCCATTAATTTTCATCTAGCTAGGTGTTTATGCTCCATTAGCCTAAATGAAAAACAAATGAATAAAACATGTGAATTTCAGTGTATCAACGAAAGTCATTTCACTGAGTCTTATTCTAACAGTCTACAATAGTTCATGATAAAACCAACAGATGTATTATTGGACCCCAAATACTTGGAATGCTCAACCAAGTAAGTACTCAAATAAAGTTCAGCAAACTAATGGAAGAAAAGTATCCTGTAGATAATAATGAAATTCCCAGTCACACATCTTAAGTCAACGATAAGACAAAGTGGGTTGTTAGTCCCTCAACCAGGGTTCCAAGCTCAACAGAAGTATAGATGCCGGAGAAGGGATTCAAAGTCAATGTGGCAGTTAACGAATTCAAACCTGAAGACATCATTCCAAAAATTGAAATGGCATTAAGTTGAGTAGATAAGGCGGTGGCAGATGAGGTTCGAGCATAGTGTGTTCCAACATCTAAGCGACAGAAGAAAACAAAACAGAACTTACCAAAAGCAGAGAAATAAGCTTTGAAGAAGTGTCTGATTTGTTGTCGCAGCTTTTACCATCTACTAGTAAGCTTACTAGTAGATGGGAAAAGCTGCGATTACAAATCAGACACATCTAGAAAAAACTTTGAAGAATCTTCGAAATGACAACAGTATAGTAATCGCTAAATCAGACAAAGGCAACTCAACAGTAGTGTTAAACAAATCTGATTTCGTTCAGAAAGTCAAGGGACTTATCGAATCAGGACCATATGAAGGAATTAAGAAACTATTATGAATACAGTTAAAAACACCACGGTGTGTCTAATACGCCGAATGAAGCCGTTTTTAGGTGAGTCGAAATGGTTTGATTTATTCCTGAAAACTAATAATCCCAGAAGGATTTACGGTACTATTAAAATTCATAAGCCAGGTTATCCTATTGGACCTATAACAGACTTTAGAAACACTCCTACCTATGAATTATCTAAATATATAGCGACGGTTCTAGTCCAATTAGAAACTATTCTAAACGGAGACTTACAAACCCTTATGACTTGAAGCATAGATTAGGTTATATATATATATATATATATATATGTATACATGACAATGAAAAGATGGTTAATTTCAATGTAGTTATTTTCAATCTCAGTGTATCAACGAAAGTCATTTCACTGAATCTTGTTCTAACAGTCATTAATAGTTCATGATAAAACCGACAGATGTATCATTTGACTCCAAAAACTGAGAAGTCGTATTCGGCAGACTGAATTTTTCAGAAGAATAAGCGAGAATTTTGTAAATGCTAGTTACCTTCATATTAGAAAGTTGTTTCAAGCAAACGCTTAATAACTGTCAACCTAAATACGAAAACAAAATGGACGTTTCTCATGTTTATCGCTTTATTTGCAGACCAAAGCAATATTTTGCCTTCACAAATGTTTTTACTTCTTATTTCTTCTCATTACAATTCTTTTTTTTCTATACTACCACTCTTGTTTCTGTGCCTATCTGTTCATGTGGTTCTTATCTTCCCTCCAGTTGTTGTCTTTCTTTTTCTTTTCGTCCAACTACTTGTGTCTCATGAAGACTTTAAATTCGATGTGCAAATTTAACATAAATTTAAAAATTTCTTAAAATTAGTGAACCGAGATTTTTATATCTTCTGTTCTCTCCTGTTTATTTCACTATCAGATGTTATTTAAATAAAATAATCCTGAGCATAAAATCTTTTTATTCATAAACCTTTATCGTCAAATATTACCAAGTAAGCCTTTTAGGATTGACTTAACTGAGAATGAGATCTGCTTTTAACTGGTCATAGAATCTAAAACAGATTCAATTACTGTGTTCCGTTACATATAGGAGTTTCTTCTCAGCAAAAAAGAATATCTCTGAAACCAATGGTCTAACTTGACTTGAAGTTGAGAAAATGGTTAATTTGTCTTCGACGATAAACACCGATTACCTGCGCAGAAGCTAGTAGGTTGCACTAACATGTAATCTAACCTTTTCATAAAACAAAACATTTTCATGTTAGTGTTACAAATCTAGGCTTCTTTACACAAAATTTCAATGTGAGGTAAAATAATCATAATTAGATGTAAGATGGCTTCAAAGTCCTGTCACTTTTGACTCCAAAAGACTGAGTATCTTTGACCCCTTAGAACAAACAGGTTTCGACCACTGATAGCTAAAAGAGATTTCAATTACTGACATCATTTGAGTAACATATATCTCATAGCCAACGGTTTCAATTAGAGACAGATAGAAGAAGGAAACTCGACGAATTTTTAATTTGCTGACTAGATTTTTAAATGTTATCAATCTTGTGATATATACTCAGCAAAATACATTCTCTATATTGGTTGTTTTTATTTATTTTGGGGCATTTCCATAACTGATTTTCAGGTTGATTTGCTTGCTACATTTGAATGCTGAATATTCTTTTCTCAAATAGAATGTCTGTTTAGTCTATATAGCCAGATGTATTTTCCTACAAGTATTTTAATAAGTAAACGACCTGCTGGTAGTCAGAAATATTAGAATTTACTCAAGCTGGTGACTTTCCTTTGGTATCTATACTTCGTCGAAGTGGTCTATCTCTCTTGCCATATAGACCGTTTGAACTACCTCAAGTTTCAATTGTGATGTTGTTTTCTTGATAACATCCATTCAAAGAGCTTATATGCCAAAACAGACTGACCAATCTGGGCCAGTCTATTAATCGACAAGACAGCCCAAGCACTAATAAATAACAAATGCAACGCGTTGCTGTTGCCACTCGGTGGTCCAGTAGATAACTGTTTCACTTTTGGAATAATCTGTTCTGAGTTCCAGTCTCGATGAAACAAAATCATATTCGAAATTCAAAAGGCAATATTTCAGCTATGAATCCAGTAGGTATGAAACCGGAGATAAAAATCTCAATAACAATTAGACGAAACAACCAATAAACTTTCATGTGATAAGAACAAGCTAGTAAACAGCCTTCGGAGAAAACGTTTTTGTGAACTCCATTTTGAAGATTTAGCCATTGATCTCAGATCAGACACCAATAAAGACTCAACGTCTTAACTATGGTACCTTGAGAACACAGAATCACTAACACTAATAAAGTCACTGATATGGCAGTTTAAGGCTTATGTGGATTTCTTTTTAAGACTGAATTCATCGCGGACTGACATCAGTTGGAGGGGAAACAGCTGTCTAGTGCTCCTCGATTCTCAATGGTTCCCTAACTCATGTCAGCCCATAATGAATACGACCATATATATATATATATATATATATATATATATATATATATATATATATATATATATATATATATATATATATATATATTTGAATACAAAATGAAACAAGAGTATTTGAAGTTCTAGAAATAAGTTATGAAGGTATGAAGTTACAAACTGAAGTTGCATCTACTTGTATTTACTTGGTTTTGGCCAGCAGAGGAATCCAGGATGCGCGTTTTGTCTTATTTGAGACTCGTCAGCTGGATTTACTTGTACCAAAGTGGTTGATGTTGTTCCCACTGAGACTCAAACACTAAATCTTTTTCCAATAGGCCACTGAGGCGTGATAGCCACTTCTTAAATATTTACCCATTTTACTTATATTGTTTAATTGTTTATTTTTTGGAATTTACTTCTTTTTTACCCACGACTGAAGCAGTTAATCGTTTTCAGTTCAGTGCAAAACGTCCATCATTTCAATGGTTTTTATGAGGAATTGTGTAACAAGCATCACCTAGGATGTAGACATTATTCTGTGTGAAACAGATTACTTTATCATATCGTTTGTTGCAAGGATGGTTGTTACCAACTCAAACAAACTAATTAGAAGTGACGCCCAAATAGTGTAGAAACAGTTTTAAAACTCATCAATTAACGGCGTAATTTTTAAATCTTTTCTCATTGAAATCTTTCGTCATGACAATAAAAATTGATGAAGACATATATATTTTACGATCGCACACCATAATGTAACATTTGCATAGGAAATCAATTTGGAATAAATTCCATAACAGCACGATACACCTCCATGAGATACTAATTAATATGGTCCATTTAAAATATGTCACACGATGCAGTCTATTGTTGAAATCATCTTCAGTTATATTATCAAATACGAAAAATATTAAAACAGATTATTATTAAAACTAAATTTGCCGGTATCAGTTAAATTCAGTGGTTAGTGAGTGCTAGTCTTCATTTCCTCCATAAGAATCACAGCCTTTAAGAGGTTGACAAAAACAATCTGTATTATTTTTAATATAATCAGTCTAACAGTTCTGGTTCTTGTACTCTTAAGACTTTTAGGTTAGAAACCAAGGATTATGCTAACCACTAATTAGACTTCCAGACCTTGTAAATGTAACTTTCAAACGTTTTTCTTTATAACTGGTTGTATGTTGGTTAGGATTTGAATACTTGTTTGAGTTGGTTGAAAAGTCGTTAAAATTATTCCGTCTTTCCACTTTTATAGCCTGAACCATGAAACAGAACCTCAAGTTTATCATTCTTGGCTTTCCGTTTTGGTTTACAAGATCTTACTGATTTTTTCTGGACGAAGGAATAATTATACTTCTTTTTTCAGTCTATCGTTTTCCTATTGAAATAAATTTAATTTCAAACATTCATGATGCGTTTTGTTTCTTATAACAAACTAGCCTTGTTATATTTCCCACCTTACATTATATTACTGTTGCGAAGAATTCTGTACTAGTTTGAAAATGAAAATAGAAAAAGCCTTGAATGCATGTACAGAACTTTACGTACACCTGTAAGTCCCAAGCTGGTTTTTTGGAAAATCATTGTAACATTGTTAAAGCTGCCGAATGAAAGACGGGTACTTATACTAATGTTAGACAGAGAAAAACAGTTTTCGTCACTCACAATACAACAACTAAATACACACTAAACGCTTATTAATAAACACGTAGAACGTATGAAGATATTTTAAACTACACCATATGACAAAGGTGACGATATCACTGGAATAGTGTGATGAATGAAAATGAAGCCCATTACAGAATGGAAGTGTTTTTCTGATCCTATGAACTCAGAATATCAACGACCGAAGTTGGGCAAAAAGTTATGTGTTATTAGGAATCTAAAAAGAATGTCACTCAATAATACTCACAGTTAGACAGAAGTTTCTTTGAAGTTACTGAAATTTGTTTTATCCATTAAAATACTTTGCATAACTACATGAATTCACCGATCATCCCTCTTCGTTTAGTGCCTTCCACGAATACCATCTAGCTGTCATGTAAGATTATATTCCAAACACCATGGTCCTCAAGGTTCTGTTTCTAGTCACTTCAAGACAAGTAACACTGAAGTAATGCAAAAGTTTTATTTTCAAAGCGCAGCTCTCTGAAGGCGTATCGAGGGCTTAGTATTGAAAAATTGTTTATAAACCAAAGTAGAGGTATGTGGCTTAATGCTTGTTAGATATTTTTCCACTGAATTGCCTGCCAAAATGAGAAGCGAATGGTAAGAAACGTTCGATGGTTATGTTCGAGAGGTCATATTTGAGAAAGAAAGAACTAGTGAAACCATTACTTCTTTGAAACAGTTTTCTTAGAAAAAGCAAATTATTTTACCGAAACCAGTGAAATCTGAGATCATTTATTCATATTTTTGTTACAAGAAAACATCTGTGGTCTCATTACGCAAAACATATTTCTCAAAGTATAAGTAATACCACTGAAGCAATAAAAATAGCCATTTCTTATTGTCACAGACGGATTATTGTTGATAGAATCAGTTGTTCACAGACTGATCATCTGGCAGTAAATGCATACGTCGTCCAGTAGTTAAGTAGTTCAGAGTGCGCATAGGTCTTACTTCTTAAGTTCGAAGATGCGAAGAGATGATAGTTTCAGAAAACCTGCTTGTCTAATTTTTCGTCTAGAAGTATAATTTAAAAATTTGAGTTGAGAAGTATAATTACCGTTATTAATACAATCATTATGTAACACATTCTTATAAGACATAAAGTAGATACCTTTAGAATTCTAAAGGTAAGTATCAAATATGCACTCCATACCACCTCAAATTCGGTCATTCCACAGACATTTTTCACCTACAGTTGAATTTGTGCAGAAAAAGAAGCACTGTTCAATCTTTTATGGCACACAAATGAGACTATTTCTCCCAATTAATAAGCAAATTGAAGTTTCACCAACTGAGTATATCCTATATTGTGATCAGCTATATTCTTTCCTAATTACTATCATGTGATCTTCTCTGCTGACTGCTACAAGATCATGAAACATATGACATTTGTCGAGAAGCTACTCTTGTTTTACAACTCAATGTGAATTTTCAAACTATCATGGTTCAGTTTCTTATATGGTCACCTGTTCATTCACCTGACCTAAGATAATATCACCAAACAAAATGACTGAAAAGTAACGAACAACATCACCATGATTTGTTCTAACAAAATCATTTTTCGCACTTGGTTTTGAACTAGAATTATACTAAGATATTGAGACCTCGAAAGTAACTCTTTTAGTCAGCCAATGAGAAAAACAAAGTAGAAAGCTTATGAAAAGGAACAACCTATCAGTCATCATCTACTAACTTAGGATTTTCAGGAACAATTATTCTTCATTTCTAGAGAGCCCTCTAAGTTCATGAACCTGACTGAGCAGTATTTTTAGTCCCAGCCACATCTGACTCACCCCACCATTTCACAGTCATCTATTTTGCTCGACAGCTGGGACATATCAGGAGGCAAACTACGCACCATTCTCTGCATAACCCATTTAACACGGTCTAACTTCATTTTTATTTGATTTTTAAGGACATTAGTACTATATTATCATTTATATGCAGTTGATCTTACTGTTTTTCATTACAGTCCTATTCCCCCAAGTCTTCCGACGACTAGGAGGTATTATTCCTGATTAGTGTTCATATAAAAGTGCTTTTTTCTTACGCCTTCGAGTTTTCTTTCATACAGATATATCCAAAAAATACAGAGTCAGTTTCGTGAAAGACATAGAACAATGTCACTTTCCTAAAAGGATCTCTTTTATATCCAACAGAATGATAAAATAGTACAAAAACGTTTATTTCACGGAAACAAAAAATTAAAACTTTGTTATTAACACTTGCAAGCTTTCATTTTATTCCTTTTAAATCAAATTTTTGAAGTAACAGGCCCCAGTGGGCAGAAACATCTTTACTCGTCTCATTATCACTGTAGGCTAGAAACTAAATGTTTGAGGTAAGAAAGAAAACTCTTTGCATTTGCCAAAACGTCGGCAAAAGATAAAAGTAGTCCATAGCAAACACTAACTACATTTAAGTGATGTGAGTATAGAATAAACTGTCTAAATGTCTTCAGCAAGACATGCGCTATGGTTAATCTCACTTTGGACTCTATAACTTGATTATTTCAGTTAGACCCGTCTTTAACTCCCACCAAAGATCTTAACTGATTGGTTACTGAAGTCAATATTGCATACTATGTCAGCTATGAAAACATTTTCACATCTTATGTTACCATCACTTATGATCAAACCCATAGGTTGTAGAGAAAAAAGATGCTCAAATTAAAGTAGATACGTAAAATATACTTAATCAGAGTTTTCCATTATGAGGTTTGTACTAACGTGACCTTTACCTGTTTGAATGCTCATTCAAGAAACATTTCCTGAGAAACACGTTCAGTGTCTGTGCAACCTAACAAAAATACATTTTTGTAAGGCTACTGTAAATAACTATACCCATAATCAATATTATTTAATCGCGCAAATGAAACATAATTTCAATAACTTCAAAATCCGTTAAAAAACTGATATGACACATTCAAAATATCATAATTTATGATGGAAAGTTAGCGAAACAAGCTTTAGAATGATTTCTTATAAACGAATCAAGTTAACAAGCAACTACGTTTTCCAGGATTCTTAATAAATTAGCTAACCTCATTTTAATTAAATGATGAGTTAACTGCTAATAAATAAATACAGGTGAAAAGTGATGGAAAATATTCAGTCGTAATCTTTTGAGTCACTTAAAATAACGTCAGTTCAAAATAACCTTTATTCGGTTTCATAAATAAATGTAAACAAATAGAATAACGTACCTTAGCACAGAAGTGAATGCCTTGTTTAAAAACTTCATCACTGTACACAGGTATGCGAGTGTCTAATCCATCGTCCAACATGAAATCATAGGCATGTCGACGGAAAGGCATTGTTTGAAACGAAAAAAGTGTAAACCGAGAATTGTTATAAATAGTTCATTAAGTATTAGATGTCTCCGTTAATGCTTTGCACAATATTTAAATCCTTATTATTCGTGATTTTAAGTATCATATGACAGAAAAATATTGGCATTTCTATTTACTTTCAGTTCGGAATAAAAGTTTTGGGATGTCTAAATCTGATTGGTCTAACGATTAACCAATCACCGACAAAATGAACATGAACGAAAGGTTTTCCTGAAAACAGTAAAAACCTACACTAAATTGGTAGTGATTTCAGTGAAGCCATGACAACAACAAATATTCACTTTCAGTTGAACTTTTTAAACATCATTTATCCCTGACTATTTGAGACACACTCACTTGTGGTGCTTAAAATTTGACTATTTGATAAAAGAAAGAGAAGAGATCTGTCCATCATTAAAAAGGCAAAGAGGAAGCTAATCCTGTTTTAGGAGTACTTTATTTACACTTATTTCATTTTCGGTACCTTTGAGAAACCAGATTTCTTTTAATTTGAAGGTTTGTCGGGATTTAGTGATTTCTCAAGTTGGTAATCATCATGGACTGACATCAGTTGGAGGAACGTTAGAAACGTGGGAGCACTAGACATCTGTGTCGCACTAGCATGGAACTCCTCATCAGTAAACGTCCATGACCCCCCTCTACCAGGAACCTCTCAGGACCTCCAGGTTCCGCAGACAGCATATCACCACTGAGCTACTGGATAGGAATCCAAAGGTTTACATTTTCAACTTCTGTTGGTTCACGACATAGCGCGACCATCACCCAATATTATCTGTGAGTATTTGTCCTTATGGTCACCAGGTTTGGCCTATCCGTCACTACTTCTCATTCAAACCTCAGAAATCACATCTAGCAGCTAGTCACCAATGAGCACTATGTCGTGAACTGACAGAAGTTGGAAACATGGACTATTGGGTTCCGACCGAGTGACTCAATAGTAATGTGCTGGCCACGAAAACTGAAGGTTCTGGGCTCGATCCCTGGCAGGATAGTGGGTGAGCACTTCTGAGGAGTCCCACAGTAGTGCGGAACTGCTATCTAGTGTTCTTAGGTTTCCAATGTTCCTCCAAATGATGTCAGCCCATGATGAATACCAACTTGAAAAACCAGATTTCCTCTAGCCTATCTTTCAAATGCACTGAAAAATATGACTGCGCAAACTGTCTGCGGTACACGACCAGATAAATTGGTTAAGAATTATCAATTTAAAGGATCGGAAATAATTCAGTTCCAGATGTCAAAATAAATATATATGAATTTTACTGAAGTGAATTTGTTATACTGAATGGAATGGATCACCATACAGTAGAAACATTTTTTGAAAGTTCACAGTCTGATCATTTCTAAACAGTTTCATAATCTTGTTAATTTCTAGTTAGGTTAGGGGTCATACAAAGGTGAAGTGAATTTCTCGACACTTAGTTTAGCAACTTAAGAATGTTCCCGAACTGCATTTTTACCAAATGTTTTGAGATTGGTACTAAAGAGGAATGATCAGAATAATTTGACAGCTTAATGGTAAATGAAAGATAACACTACATTTATACAGCACAGTCTTAGGTAAGAACTGCAGTACTTACAAGTGAAGTGCATCCAGATATAGTGAATAATTTCCAAAGTCGTAAAACTCTTACATGAAGCATATCAATTTTAACGTCCGTAGAAGTTTAATATGGCTCTGTCGTTTTATCTACAATCATTAGACTGTAATCAACCAAGCACATCATACATCCGTACTGTACAAGTACGTCGAGTTGGTAGATGACATCCGTGATAGAAGGCACTTGTTTTCATTACTTCAGATGCCAGCTGCTTGTGAAACCATACAGAAATATGAGTCTAGATAGGGAACCTTGGTTATATGCCTTCTTGCTACTCACATCATACTCAGACAGAATACCTCCCCTAAATCAACTAAATTAAATACCACTTTCCGACGGAAGTAAGCCACTGGTAGATATGTTTGCATTCTTTGGACTGTGAAAAGTGAATCTCTATAGATTACATCACCATTTACAACTCATACCCTAGTTTTCACATGCTTCTTTTTCCAAGGCTTCATTCAGTCAGGCAGTTGAATGTCTGACACACTGTTAGTCAAACTAATCTCCCTTATCTTTTCACACAAAGATTTCCTTTCCCTGCAGGCTGTAATAACCAACGATATAGACTAATCTGAAGAGACTTTCTCTGGTTCCGATACACATAAGAGGTGCTGTTCACTACCAACTATACGAAGATGCACAAGGTTTGAGTGGATTTAGATTCAATCTCAATTCAATGCTTGGATGAAGCCTTAGGAAAATACTATCTTTTACTTACCTGCGGATGCAGGATATAAGCTCTCTTTAACGTTATTTCTACAGAAGATTGAATAACACACTAGTTTCCATCAGGATGACAATTTCTACTTCGCTTGAGCAGATGTTCAGCTAAATCTTCCTTGATTACAGATCATGTTACAGTCTTTCAAATTAGCACTCAATGGCCTAAAACATGTTCGTCGCCTCCCCCCATCACGGCGCACGCAACACTGTAGGAGATCTCAATAATACTATGTACTTATATGTGCCCGTTTTTGGCTCTGCAGCAATCAGAGTTAAGTAAGATGACCTCTATCTTGCTGCTTAAAGCTCATGCTAGCCAGAGACAAGGGATTATCAAAACTAAACTTTAATAAACGATCGTCCCATTGGTATGAATTTTCGTACATTCACCTATATCACCTTCGTAGGTCGTTCACTTTGCTTATTTAAGCAATAAGTTCATCTACTGAGACGACAATATTTACACACTTAGTTTTCTCAGAGGAACTGTCAGCTTTTATTGGCACTCATCCTTTACATCGTCTCAACTGGTCAGTCGGTATAGAGGTGAAGACTTGGAATAAGCATTGACGGCCTTTATGATTGTTTCTTGCTCTTATACGTACACGTAAGATGCTAGTGGACAGACGACTGTAAACTTCTTTCTATTTGAATAGATACTTTTAGCCTGAAATTGAATGCTATTCATACGCATAGAAGACTACAAAAACCAGCGAACAAAACACTGAGTAATCATTGGATGAATATAGAAGATTCAGCGCCTTTTCTTTGTTAGGTCAAGGTAAGAACCACATTGATGTCTTACATAGAAGTAATGGGTAATAGAATGCAGTTTACGTCCTCGCTCCGAATTTCAGAGTTTGCGCTGATGAAGTCTGTTGTCGGAATCAGTCAAGGATTCGGATGCACAAAGCTCCAATTTTAAATTAGTAGAATGCTTCCAAGAAGATGGAAACGGTGTTTTGCCGACTTGTACCGTTAGCAATGGCTGTAAGAAACTATGGACCTCAAAACGTTTACAACGAGAACACGTGATCAAGTCAGAAGAAGGGACTTGGCTTTGATGTCTACCCTTTGACAACTCGAGATTTTCGTGCCAGCGCCTAATTACTTTTTTTCCTGATGTAAGATAAAAGGAATCAGTTTTGCCCAGTCACAAAGCTCAAGGGATATATGCTTGATGACAGTTACACACGAACCCTTTGTTGCTTTCGAAACTTGCATAGTTGGATCAGTACATCCATAAGCTTTAGTGGTCAGAAGTTATATGACAAGACAAAGCGTACTGTTTTAAGGGAAATATCTTTTCAACGTCCACCTTAGCTGTCAACAGTAAAGTATACTGAGGGTACTAAGGGTTCTTGGAAGATACCAAGCTAAACTATCGTCACAATCCCATCCAGTACACAATAAATCGTCACCCTTGAAACCCTCACATAGTGAAAATTACTTTCATCTTGATAGTTTATCCCCTTAATCTTATCATTTTCCAGCAAATCTTTCTGATACGTGAGAAACTCTTAGGGCCATTGAAATACACAAACATGGCCACGTCAATGTACAACTATCATGTGAGACTGGTTTCTTTGCCCTCAAAGTGAACAATTATTACACATCTATATAGTTCATATGAGGTACACAAGGTTTGTATTAACTTTGATTTAGTCTTAGCTGTAAAAAAATCTTGAAACGACACAGCGGATATTGATTGATAAATATAACGGAAACCAGTGTCAACAGATCATCAAAAGAGAAATTTGTGGTGTATATAACTTTGTAAAGTTACTCAGCATAATCATTATTAACGGGCCAATAAGCGGTTCTGGTATTAAAAAATATTCCATAGCCGAAAACCGCATGATTCATGTCCAGCTACAATGAATTAACATTTTGATACTGGTTTGAAAAAGTATTATTTGAAAAGCTTCCTTTCAGGTGTAAATGTAGTGTTTTCTTTTTAAGTGTTAGAAAAGTTTGTGAGGCGATCATGCTAGTATCACCATTTAATATCGGATCATAACAGATCATTTGAAGCACAGTGAGCATTCAGTGTAAAACGAAGCTAGTTACAAATCTAATACTCTTTTAATACGTTTTATTCGACACAGACTATGAGAATTGTCTTCACAAGAACTAAATAATACTGTTGAAGTTTCTTTTCTTCTAATAGTCAAATTCAAAATAGTCATGTTGCTTTCACTTTATGATCTATTGACATTGACTTAGTTTGAAACACGCTTCGGAACAACTTTCAAAGTTATGGATCCTTTGTTACATATGAAAAGTGAAACTAAAACACCCAGTTATAATAGACGTGGCACCATATCATGAATATTTTGATTTTGATCCTCAAATAGAGCCAGTCATTAGTGTAATCTCAGCTATCTGTGTCCTTTTCCTAAGAATAAAAAGGTCTAGTACATGACTTTGTTCACTTTTAACCTGGTTGAATCAATAAATAAGAATGAATGGTTTTTTAACGTCTTTCATTCAAGAACTCAGATCTCTACCGACATCCCTTCGATCCCTACACATTGATTTACTCACTGGTAGCTATTTCGACCAAAGTTTATTTCTAAAGGGAACGGAGTTTAAACATATGCTGAAGCCCTAAAATACCTACAGGCCAGTGATCGGCTTAGTGAGAAATTATTCCAAACAAAGTAGGACTTTGTTATCTAATTTCTCATACAAATTGATCAGTATGTTTATTATGCCGCCT